CTCATGCGTGCTGTGAGGACAAAATGTGTTCATGGTTGTGAAGTGTTCCTAGTCTGTGCAAATGAGAGTCAAATAATAATAATAATAATAATTAATAATTATTCCACCCTTTCCCTGGAGCCTTTAGGACCCAGTACATGCTGCGGTTGCTGAAGGTGAACCCAGAGGCTTTGCAGGAGAGGCGGAGAGAGTCTCCGGGCTTTTTCATATCCCCTCCGCACTCCACCAGCACCTGGGACCGGACACCTGGGAATAGAAACACATTATAAATCAGATCAATGTTAGTTTCAAATTCTCCTACATTCCTCTGCATCTCCAGTGTACTGAGAGAGAGAAAGAGAGAGAGAGCGAGGGCGAGCGAGCCTTCTAAAGCTGTTACAATGAAAACTAAATGGAGCCAAAGTCTCATTGTCCCTGGTGCTGCAGGGGAAAGTTCTCAGGGGACTGGCTGGTAACTGCACAGACCCAGGGGACTGCGCATTGTCTGTCTGGTGCAGCTTGGGCAGAGAGAGGGACAGATTTAAACAGGTTTCAGAGCAGTAGCCGTGTTTGTCTGTATCAGCAAAAACAATGACAAGTCCTTGTGGCACCTTAGAGACTAACACATTTATTTGGGCATAAGCTTTCTTGGGCTAGAACCCACTTCTTCAGATGCATGGAGTGAAAATTACAGTGGGCGGGTATAAATATACTAACACATGACATGATGGGAGTTGCATTACAAAGTGGGTCAGTGCTAAGGAGGCCAATTGGTAAGGTAACTCACCTTTTCATGTGTTAGTATATTTATACCTGCCTACTGTAATTTTCACACCATGCATCTGACGAAGTGGGTTCTAGCCCACGAAAGCTTATGCCCAAATAAATGTATTAGGCTCTAAGGTGCCACAGGACTCCTCCTTGTTTTTACAGATTTAAACAGGAAACTTTCACCCTCATTTGCATAGCTCCCTCCTTATAAGAGACAAACACTCCTCACCTCAGCTGTAAATGACTAAGACAGTGGCTAAGAGAGGGGTCCTTACTGTCTGTGATTGTGTTTTTCTACATGGGAGCAAAAACAGGTCCCTTGAATGACCCCAATTCTTTATGTGGGGATGTAGGGCCCCATACAAAATCTATTCTAGTCAAGTTTCAGAGGGGCAGCCCTGTTACTCTGTTTCAGCAAAAACAACAGGGAGTCCTGTGGCACCTTAAAGACTAACAAATTTAGACTAACACGTCTGACGAAGTAGGTTCAAGCCCATGAAAGCTTATGCCCAAATACATTTGTTAGTCTCTAAGGTGCCACAGGACTCCTCGTTGTTTATTCTAGTCAAGTGGAGGTTCTGTTCTGAAGGCACCCCCGGCCCCCGATATGCACAGTGAGGCTGTCGTTCGGTGGGGCCAGTGACTGGGGTCGGGTCACAGGTTTCCATTGGGTTGGGACACCCACTGCAGGGTCAAGATTCCCTGGGGCGCTGAAAGCAAGTGGGGCCATTCGTCTTCCCAGCAGTGACCCACTCAACCGAAATGTGCATTGACCGGAGTGTCGGGTCCTCGTGCACGGTGCATGGCACGTGTTGCAGAATGTCGGTGAAGATGGGAAAAGTGCTCGGAGGAAAGTGTAAAGCCAGAGAGTTCACAGCTGGATGCCCAGTGCCAGGGAGGTGAATGTGCTGAGGGCAGAATGTCTCTTGGAGTAGGGTTAGGGGCAGGGCCGGCTCTAGTTTTTTTGCCGCCCCAAGCAAAAAAATTTTGGCTGCCCCCCCCACCCCTTTTTTTTGCCTTTTACACGTTTGCTCTTTGCCATTTTGTTTGTTTTGTTTTGTTCCTATTATTTAGGAAACTGGAGAAAGATGTGGGGTTGCATGGAAAGACACACTGGCCAGTAGAAGAGTAGTGTAGGAGTTTAATGTTGTCGGTGAGCTTATCACAGAGTGAGACTTGATGTGTTTAAAGGTACGTGTATTATTGTGAGATGCGCCTGACGTTGCAAGATGAAAATGCAGCAGTGATTGATCCTGGGTTACTGGAGCACACCAAAGCGCCTCGGGCGCTAGAAAGGGGAAAGCGTAGGGAGAAAAACGTAAGGCTCTTTGGATCCACTTCTCATCCTGAGTCAACTCCTTCAGGTGACAGTTTTCTCAGCCCCAGACCCCCCTGAGCCAGACTTGCGGTTCAGATCACAGCCTGGAGAACAAAAGCCACAAGCATTGGCGGGGGCAAAGAGCAGATGCATGCACAGCGAGGGGGGGGGGGGGAGAGGGAGTTCTGTCCAGCAGCGCTGATCGCCTGGATGAAGAAATACCTGACGGGCATCGTGAGCTCCGCTTCCGGACCGGGCCCCCGAACCAGGCTCCTCTCTGCACTGACCCTTGCAAGAGCAGCAGGAGGAGAAGCTGCAGTGGCAGAGCCTCTCCCAGCAGCAGCTGCTGCCATGATGGGCGCACAGAGGCACAGCTGCGCCCCATCCTCCTGCCATCCCCCGCGTTGGCCCCACCGGCCAGTT